CACTGGAGCTGATAGTCTCCAACAGATTTCGTGGCACATCTAACGGGTAGAAGAGCGGGAAAAAATGTAATGCATGCTTCAGCATTTCGCGATAATTAGGAACGATTTTAATGAAATAATAGGTTTTAAAAAGTGTACTTTTTTAAATTTGGTGGTCCAGGGGCAGAGGCCTGGAGGGGGTTTGTGAGAAAAGCGACAAAATAGCATTTTTGAGGGTCTTTACATAATAGATTTCTCAAAGACATAATTCATGAATATTTCATTTAAATTTTCATTAATTTGGGTGTTTTTCGGACCTGAAAAAAGTAACGTTATTATGTCCTGTACATCTGCAGGTCTATAACATTCTCAATCTGCAATCACCGGAGACGATCAATTTCTAACAAATTTCATACCACATTATTAAAAATCAACAGTTAGATAAGCTGGCAAATATATGATGCAATGCATGCTATAGCATTTTATGATAATTAGGAACGATTTTGTGAAATCATAGGTTTTAAAAAGTGGACCTTTTAAAATTTGGGGTGGTGGTGCGTCCGCACCCTCTGCACCACCCTGCCTACGGGCCTGCACACACAAGACGAGCGATCATTTTTTCCACACTAATCGCCTAGGGGTGCCTAGCCACACTATTCACCAGGAGTACAGGAGTTTTCTTGGAGAGGAAGTTGAGAATGGGGACTTCACCACTTGGCATATACCCCATGATTAAAAATGAAGTCACGAGACCAAGAAACCAGACGAAAAGCTCCACCTTGAATAATATTGTTGGTAGACCCCGACTAATCAATAAAATAAAATAATTAAATCACAATTCAGAGTCGGTTGCCTTTTGCATGCTGTTTGTCTACTGCCTTTTTGCCTCCCCAAAGTGGAGTGATACCTTCCATATTCAGAGCATTTGGTTCTAATTTACCCAGTTCAACCGAACGACATTCTATTTATTCATTAATCAAAATTGTTGTCCTTTCTTAAGAAAAAAAATAGAAACGTCCTTATAGACTATACAAAAGTAAACGGAGACCCTCCCTTCACATTCCTAGATGGAATTTAGTACTTTTCTGTAAATACTTCATTGTGGGTCGGGTTCAAACTTATCAGTACCATGCACCCATAGTTCGAGTCTCTATAATGTCATAATGTTTCAAACATTAATGTGCATGTTACTTGTTAGCGTTGCCTCCATAAAAATAACCAGAGACTATGATATTTTTTTTTTTTTTTTTATGGATGCTTCTTCTCAGAGGGGGAATCTACAACAACAATTAAAATGACCTTATTACGTTTGCTTGTCAAGCTAATGAGTGATTGTCGTAAAACAACAAATCGATACAGCATACAGTATTAGGCCTATGTAGTGACGACTGGATGACTTTAAGTTACAGGTGAATTTGATATTTTTTTGTTTTGGTTAAATTAAATATGTCACGTTATAATTAATTGTTTTAAAATGCCTAAATTGTATACGATTTTAATACCGGTAAGCATTCTTGATGACTTTCAAATATTTAAAAAAAAAAAAATACAAATATGATAAAATATGATATGGATCAAGAAAAAAAAATTAAGAGGAGGTTGACGTATAAAAGGGGGAAGAAGGGGTTCCTTAACACCATGTGAGTAGAAAAATTAAACAAGGAATAAAGAAACGACAAACAAGAGAAACTGCAAATTATTTGATACTGAGGCTACGTTCAAATTATATAATAACAAATGTGAGCAAGTATCACATAATCAAGAAAAAACTACGGAACGAGAACGTTGCTTAAAACATCGTCGTAGTACACATGATTTTGAAATACAAAATATCTACACCACAACGATAGCGGGAGAATAGAGGTACCGTATGAAAATACTCAACACCGATAGCATAGACTGAAACAACCGAACTGGGGTGTTATTTTTTGAGAACGTACAGTATTGAACATTCACTACGGTAACACGTCAGGTAGGAAAAAAATATCATTCATAATTAATCTCCTGACGCAGAAAACATCATCGAATAATTCTGCATTTGAGAAAATTTATAGGATTTTGACTATTTTAGATATCCATGAATCATATTTGTTTTCGACAAATTGTGTTATCAGTGGTTTCTGAAGCCATTACTTCTTTTTTAACCTACCAGAAATAATCAATAATGAATGCTTTGCGACTTGCTTTTAGTGGCAAGATGTTCAATCTACTACAGAAATAATGTAATTCGTAACTTGTGGACTGTCCAAACGCTTACAAAGACCTGCCAAAGCATATTTAAGGCATAAATTGTTATTGTTTTATCGTGTTTGTTACCAGTTTATTACACGTGCTCTGTTGTTCTAAAGGAAATTGAGTCATTCCAAAATAACTTTATGATAGGCTACAATATTTTAACTTCTGTTCCGCATCTTGTGTGTCCCAACCGATGTTTGGGTTGCAAAGAAATTTTGATGGGTTTTTCCGTCGCTTCAGATAAAAACCAATTGATGGTAAACAAACAAAGGTGCCGAAAAAAGAATGCCAACAAATGAACCCCGATGCATGGTTTCCACAAAATCGATACACGCTATTTAGCCGAAAGCTTTCGTTGATGCTGATTGGTTGGTCGATATTGGGGTGCTTTGTCGATTGCATCGAGGACTGCTACACTAGTGCGACGATTGCATTTAAAAAAAAATGTAGCGTTAGTGTAGCGATTCTTTTAAAACACAAGGCTTTAGCTTGATGAAATTTACCATTTGAATACATTTCTGTTTGATTAGAAGTCATTGGTAAATTTTTAGAGAGAAGCAAATATGATATCAGACAGGTTGCAACAAATTTTCTAATGCTATTCCACGACAGCAACGCAGAAATGTGGTAGCTGGATTTCAATAAATTTCTTTTAATATATTTTGACTGATTACTTTCGTCATTGATTTATAATATTGTTATTTTTAAAGCATTTTTAAAAGTATAAAAGTGCCATGGCTGGGTTTCTAGGGTCTCTTGATACATAAGCCGCTGTGGCTCTCATGGCACTCTTTGGAGTGTGTTCAAATGCATACAGGTATGTATTTATTTTTCAAAGCGTGTACACAAACAACCATGAGTAGAAAAATATTATTATTTCGCAGGCGAGACACAGTTTTTATCAAACTTACGCCAAACAAGTTTATCATGCATACCAGTACCATATTTCTGCTTTCACGTTTCTGCTTGCATGAGTAATGAGTAGACGCTCCATCCAATACAGAATACATATTATTTATAAATTGGCATTTTAAGTGAAAAAGGGGCACTTTATGAGTTATTTTGTTAAAGACAACACTTCATGAAGTAACGGGCGTCGTCAACAATGCTGTTTTGTCGAAAAAAATCAATATATAACTAAAACAAAAAACATCAATCAGCAAAGTAAAGCATGCTGACATTTATTGTTTACGAGGCGAATTAGTAGCCTGGTACGGATGATGTTTGCCTACCATTTTCAGGAAGGCAAGCATTTTATGTTGTGAATGGGAATGACATAAGAATGATTATACTGTATTTAAAATTAGTAATCTTCGACCTCTGTATAATTAAACTAAAATAAACTTGACTTGACAGGTTCTGTTTTTCTCTGATATTGTTGTAATGTAATATGTAATTTTAATATTTGTGGCGAAGACAAGAAAAACTAGTAACTCCTTTCGGAAATAATGACCAAAACATGTATTAAAGTTAACATTTTCTAATAAACTTTACATACCTAATACATCATCATGCTTAATTGTTATTATTTTTCCCATTAACTACGATTTGATGCTGATTTGTTAAATACTAATCTTTAAACAGCTGTAGACTTAAACTCCTAAAACCTCATAATGAAATTTTAATACATTTTTAGAGCTTTAATTTTACTGTTCAACACTGTATTAATAACTAATAGTTTTTTGTGAGAAGTGACTGGTTTGACTTATCTTTGCCACATTTCTCTGTTGTTTACGTCATCAATGGAATGTCAGGATAGGCATACTTTTAAAATGACAAGAATAATAAACAAAACTGAATGCTTTGCGACTTTTTTTGGTATCAAAACCTTCCAATCACAGATACTATATTTCATAACTTGTGGATTGTCATTTACAACGTTTGAAGACTTGCTAAATCCTCGAAGACGCCTGACTGTAGTGTAACTAGTTCGTTATCTCCCAATTCCCTTTTAAAAAAGAAAAAAACAAACTAGTGGATCGATGCACATATACAATAAATTATCCTTAAAATTTTATATAAGATACACAAAAAATTAAAATAAATGTTAAAGATAATTAAGAATGAATATTAAAAGGTATCCATAATGGATGAGAGTAAGAATCAAGAATAAAAATGGATGTTAACAATAATTGTTTAATTAAAGAAATGTTATGGGTTAAGGAGTTAATGAATGTAGGAAAAATGGCCCTGGCTACTATTTTTTTTTAAATCTTCTGAAAACACTTACATGGTATTTATTTATTTATTTATTTCTATCTATTTCGGTATACAATTTACAGCGAATGACTGAATTTGATTACATTACAACATAAAAACATACAGATACATTAAGAAAAGAATCATTGATATGGATTACCACGGTATACTGTATACATTAAAATTACCAAATAACAAATTGGTTACCAAATAACTAAATTGGAGTTCTAAATAATGCTTTAGAACGATAGTAATTATAAAGAAAACAAGTCGTTTTTTTGTCTTTATCTGCGCCTCTTTTCGCTGATGATCCTTCATGTAATCATTAATCCTATCACCTAGAAGCATGTGAAATGTATACAATATTTCCTATAAACAATCATTGGCTTTTGTACTTAAAAAAATTAAAATTACACGTTGTCTATAAAACCTACTATAAGCCTTAACCCACCAATTTAAAAATGGAAACAATCACCCCATTATTCTACTGTCATCATATTCATATATGTAGGACTGGTGACTGTCCTTGTAAAATGCAATATGCGAGGGTTATATAATCCTAATCTGGCTTATGCCGTCCTGTATATTGTATATACAATCAGATTACAACAGTTTATTTACTATACTGGAGCAGCCTCAAACGCCGGGAACCAGCGTAGATTTTTAAACCAATTTCTAAATACGCCATTTTGGAATTCATCCGAATTATGACTGTAAACACACTTATTTACATGGTATTTTGGATTCAAAATAGTACGTATACAGGTATGTATATCATGTCTTTCTCTAAAATTTTAGACTTATATTAACTCTAATGCTTTAAAAAAAACATTAAAGTTCAGTCAACCTAGGCCTAGACCAAGGCCCTCGGCATATTACCTAGTTTAGGCCTAGATGAACAACTTTCATGTGTGGGAAAAAGCCGGGCCTCTGGCTTAGGCGTGAAGGGCCTAGGTATTTAGAATTGCCAAGAGGCTCCCTACTTTGAGTGTCATAGTGGGTACCCCCTAATAGTACCTCCCTGGTGTTCTATTACCTCAGTGCAGGCCTATTTTAATTCACTATTTCTACTACTAGCCTCTATATTAGGCTTAAGGCCTACTAGTACTATAGAGCCCTATGTAGACACATACTATAGAACCTTATGTAGACACAGGCCTCTAACCTAGGCATAGCCTAGACTCGATTTTATTACAGAGGTTATAGGCTAGGCTCCCCCCCCCCCCACACTCCCACTCCCTTTCCCTTCCTTCCTTCCTAGTCCAAATCTGGCTTAAATACTACATTATTTACTAGATTTACTGCTCAGTGCAGCTAACTGGTTATTGGTATTAAAGTTGAAAACTAGCCTTGACAAAGGAATAAAAAGAAAGGTCCAGGGAGGAAATTTTACAGATTGACCACCTAATAA